GATACTGATTCTAGAAGGCAGGGGTAGATTGAAAGATGTCTTTTAATTAGGAGTAAAAGATCTTGGGGGCTTCCCTGGTGGCGCAGTGGTTGAGAGTCTGCCTGCTGATGCAGGGGACACGGGTTCGTGCCCTGGTCCGGGAGGATCCCACATGCCGCGGAGCGGCTAGGCCCGTGAGCCATGGCCGCTGAGCCTGCGTGTCCGGAGCCTGTGCTCCGCAGCGGGAGAGGCCACAGCAGTGAGAGGCCCACGTACCACAAAAAAAAAAAAAAAAAAAAAGATCTTGGGCTCTCCTCTACTGTGTTTCCTGTGTTGTCTCTTGTATGAGTTGTCACAAATTTAACTCTCCAATACTGAGTTTAGCTGTGGGGCTGCTGAGGCAGTGTGGAACTAAGTGGATGAGCTGCTAGAGTCTTACTTGTTCCTTTAGCACTTTTTCCGTAGCAGTCATGGAGAACATGAGTGTGCCATCTCATTTCTGGGGGTTGCTAGATAATCTTCAGTTTTCTTTCCCTTAAGCGCATTTAACTTTATAATGGTAAATTAGCTTTAGAGTTCATATTTTTCAATTTCTAGTCATTTGGTGCTCTTGTTTTAGACTTGCTTTCCTCTGATATACCTTTTTTCTTTGATTTTCTTTTTTGAAGTGGGTACTCCAGTTCTACACAACTCCTGTTGAGGCTGTTGGCACTAATAAGTAGTGATGTCAGGATCTAGTTTGTTTCTCTGTAAATGGAATATGAGATATTGACTCATTCCATGCCATCCATGGGCCGTTATTTTAAAATGGAAGGGAAAATTTCCTACATTTGAAGGTATCCATTATTTCCTTCTCTCTAGTTCTAATTGACTTCTCTATAAGGAGTGGGAATTGAAGGGAGTTTCATTGGTTCCATCATCATATATTATTTACCTTTTACAAAACACTTTGCAAAACAAAGTGCTTTACGTCTATTTTATTATTTATTCTTCACACAAGCCCTATGAGACAACATAGTCCTAAAGATAGGAAGGCTGAAACTGTGGTGGATAAAAAGAAGAGCTTGGGACTTCGCTGGTGGTGCAGTGGTTAAGAATCCTCCTGCCAATGCAGGGGACACAGGTTCGATCCCTGGTCCGAGAAGATCCCACATGCCGCAGGGCAACTTAGCCTGTGCACCACAACTACTGAGCCCGTGCTCTAGAGCCTACGAGCTGCAACTACTGAGCCCACACGCCTAGAGCCCGTGCTCCGCAACAAGAGAAACCACCGCAGTGAGAAGCCTGTGCACCGCAACAAAGAGTAGCCCCCACGCTCAGCAACGAAGACCTAGCACAACCCCCCCCCCCCCAAAAAAAAAGCTTACCCTGCCTTTACTGTCCTTTAGTGGAAATGTAGCAAATCTTGTGGCAAAGCTGGAATAGGGCTTGTTGGTAACTGAATTCACATCCATGTTATGACCCTCTGTTGCCTCACTATCCTAAGAAACTGAATGTCAGTCCTGTGCTAGAATAAAAAAATGAATCAGAGCCAGACCCTGCTCTTTGTTCTTTCTGATTCTGAATGACAGATACCTTACCTGTTCCTTCCTGGGTAGGTATATTAGGACTTGAAAGGAAACTGTTGTTGGCTGCAGTGAGACTTATTTCCCATTTTACCCATAGGTAGCCTATGTCTTTACTGAAGGCTTATTGCTTTTCACAGGTGGTGGAAGACTCCCTAGGTGACATGTGTGCCATAATTGGATATTTTCCCCAAGGACAACTAACAAATATGTCATGTGGGCTGAAGCATCACTCAGGGTCTCCTGGCCTTATTCATAGGGAAAGACATTATTCTTGAAGGTTTGGTCTGAGCTGTCTATAACAATCATACTGTACTGTCATAAACCTTAACTTGAAACTTTTCTTTAGCTTGTTCAATTTGCATAAAGTAATGAATAAATGAATATACTGTGCTTAGGATGATGTTCTTAAACCTAGAGTGATGATAATTTTTAAAATATTTATTAAATATTGGACATGTCAAATGAACAAAGCATGGGTTCTTGCCCCCAAGCAACTTACAGTCTGGTCCACAGAAACAGCTACAATAACGGTCTGAAGAAGGATCTGATATAAAATATTTAGAGCCTGGCTTGGCTGAGTCCTTTAGATCTTTCTGTGAAATGATTGGCTATGGCTAAGTATACAATTTACAGATGAGGAATAACTTTTTCCTTATGCCATGTTGTAGGAGTACCGTGTCAACTAGTACATGTGTATATTTTACGAGAATATATTTCTGTAGTAATAAGAGTACAATTGCTTTTATAGAATGCTCTCTCACTCCATTTTATGATCTTAGTGGTCCCAAGAAGTGTGTGTCTGGTTTTGTTTTGTTTTTTAATAAATAGGGGAACTGAAGCATGAAGAATTAACGCGATTTGCTCAGAATCATACTTGCAGTTGTTTAGCATGCCATAAATAAAAATTAGGACTCATGATCTTTTTCCTTTAGCTAAAGTTCTAGATAAATTTTGTCAGTTTGCTTACTGTATTAGTTGCCTACTTTTACATGACAAACTCAATAGCTTAAAATAAAACCCACTTATTAGCTCGCAGTTCCGTTGGTCAGAAGTCCAGCAAGGATAGTTTGGCTGGGTTCTCAGAGTATCACAGGGCTGAAATCAAGGTGTTAGCTGGGCCTTTTCTCATCTGTAGGTGCTGGAGGAAAACCTTCCAAGCGCATTCAGGTTGGAAGAATTCAGCCTCTTGCAGTTGTAGCACTGAGGTCCCTGTTTCTTTGCTGGCTCTCAGCTCCTAGATGCTGCCTGTAATCCCTGCCATTTGGCTTCTTTTATGCTGAAGCCAGAAATGGCATGTTGGATCCTTGTGTTTCTGACCTCTTACCCTAGGTTTAAAGGGCTTGTGTGATTGGGTCAGACCCACATGGATAATTTCCCCTTCTTAAAAGTCAGTTGTGCTAAATAATATAACCTAATCACAAGAGTGATATCCTATAATATTTACAGTCCTGGTGATTATACAGCGTATGTACTTCAGGCTGGGAATCTTGGGGGACGTCCTAGAATTCTACCTACCACACTAAATATTTCCCTCACGCTGAATTAGCCCATGAGCAAGTGTGGATGTCAGAAGAGGGAGAGGTGGGAATTGAGTATATTGAGGCAGTGAATTGCATTGTGATTATAGGTGTTATGAGAAAAACCTGGGCCTCCTAGAATCATCACAGAGCAGGGGCCAAGTGGCATTCACCTGTGGTGTTCTCCCTTAGCCGAGAGTTCAGATATAGTTGTCCCCTATAAGTTAGCCTGAACAAAATCTTTAGAAAGTACCGAAATATGGGCTTGCTCTAATAGGTTTATATTACCCGTATGCTAGCCACATGGTTCATGAGGTAAAAGTCCATGATTAACTGTTCCTGTGAAGCACATTGGTAGGAATTAGAAACACTTTTTGCTATGTAAAGTACTCTGTGATCAGAGTAATGGTTAATCATATTCTCTTATTAGATCTCTCCTAACCTCTCTTCTGCTAAGGACACTACCTAATTACTTTTTGTTAGGCTACATGAGTATCCTGTTCCAAGAGACTGTCCTTAATTGTCTGAGAATCCTATGCCCTTTTTGTGACCAGATGGAAAAGTTAAAGATTCAGGGAACTGGGTAGAAGTGAATCAGTGCCTTGGATGAATTTTCTTATATCCTTGAATTTATAATAAGACCAGTTCTGTTACTAGGCAAACAGAGGGAACCTCTGTCCAAAAAGACTGCCAAGTTTAGTCTGATCGGCCCACTTTTAAAAAACTGAAGTGCTAATAGATGCAGCCACCACCACCACAACAAATCCAGCTGTGGAAAAGGAGTCTTAGATTTCATTTGCATTTATTATGATAATAATTGATCAGAGTATGTTTCAGACTCATTCGGTCATGAATTTATTTTAATTAGCTTGGCCTCATAGGGCATACCTTGGGAGATTGACTTTAATTTTTGGTTTCTTAGAGAAACCAAACTGTAACGTCTCTAGGAAGTTTCTTATTTCCTGCAGATGGTAACCAAAAGATTTATCTTACCACATATTACATTAGGATGTGGTGACTGAATCAGCGCTTTGAATTACACTCTGGAAGGAGAGCGAAGGGACAGCTTTTCATTTTTATGTTGATTGATGGTCTTAATGCAGAGCAGTGCCCAGCCAAGTATATTTATTCTGATGCTATTACTTTTGATGCAGTGTACCTTTGAGCAATTTGTGTTAATTTAAGTAAGATTTGATAATACTGAGAATCTTTTAGAGGAAATGAATCTTATTTTAATAAATGCAGTTTTGTTAAGGTCTTTTCCTGTACCAGCTAATGACCTTCAGAAATTTATTTACCCATCCCATTCTATTGAATAAAAAATTCCTATAGAATAAATGTTTTTCTGCCCCTTTAAAAAATATTTTGTGCTTCTATCTATCATTGTTTGCATATAACTGAAAGATTATTATAAAAATTGAGTAAGAAGCAAAAATCTAGACTATATTTAAATGACAATATTGCCACCCTGAGGAGGAGGCTCCCAAGTGTTGGAGTCATAGTCTGACTTTAGATTCTCTGTGTGTTTACAAGGGCTCCTTCTGAGGGTATCCGTGGGTTAAGCCATGAGGAATGTAGGGGATCACCACAAAGAATCTTTGTCCTAGGGATTTCTTTTACCTCTTTCATGTGTTAGATCTCCTGTTTCCTGTATTTCAGGTCTTTAACTTTCTTGGTTTGCTCCCTCATTTTGGTGGAGCGTATCCTACAATTGCTTCCTAAAGTGCACGGGGATAAATTTTTTGAAAGCTTCAATGTCTGAAAATATCTATTTTGAACTCACATTTGATGAGTAATTTGGTTGGGTATAGAATTCTAAGTTAGAAGTTTTTTTCTTTTTTTTTCAGATTTTAAAAAGACCTTTTTTCATTGTTTAGCTTTTTTTTTTTTTTTTTTTTTGCCTGGCAGGACTGGGTTTATTTATTGCCTCTGGCCCAGAGCTGGGGCGGCCCCGGGCCTGTACAAGTTCCCTCCGGCCGAGCCCTTCCCCTCCTTCCCCACCCCCAATGCCGTCTCCCCGAAGCCCCGCACCAGACTCCGGCGGAGCCCGCCGGTGGTTTGGGGGTGTAGGCGGAGAGGTGGTTAGAGCACCCCGAAGGCCCGCGTCCAGCTCCATTCCCAATCCACCCCTCCACCCCTGGGTAAAGAGGGTGGAGGTCGCCACCTCTGCCCTAGGGGAAGAAAGAGGCTGGAGCTGTCTATCTTAAACTCCTCAGGAGATCAGCGATTCTGAAATCCCTTCCTCCAGGGGCTATCCTTTCTCCCCAGGGAGTCCTCTATCCTCAGCTCCAGACCACCTCTTACTCCAAGGCTCCAGTAGTCCTTCCCTTTAGAATAAATTAAGGAATCTCCAGCTGCCACTCGATTCCAGGGAGAGGGCCAAGAAAGGTTTGAGAGATCATGTGGCCCAGGAAGGGCCACAGCCCTCAGCCAGGGGATGAGCACAGGGCTGGGTCCAGATCTGTCACAATGCCCAGGCCTCACACCTACAGAGTCCGGATGGCCACGGGGTAGAGCAGGGACATGTGCTCGGCCCCCTTAATGGGCAGCTTGCGGCTGGCGTAGTGGTGCACGATTTCAGGGACGCTGCTGAAGGGCGGGCTGTTCTGGCCCAGCACATACTTGTGTTCCTTGGTCCGGGACAGCTTCATGTGCATGAAGCCCTGACTGCTCTTGAGGGACAGGGAGAAGTCGTTCTTGCTGGTCTCACTGTTGCGCACCAGGTAGCTGGCCTCTTTGCACAGCCGGAGCAGGTTCTCGGCATCTGTTCGACTGATGGCCCCGTGGTACCAGCTGGTTTTCCAGAGGCAGTGCTCGGTCTGTCCACTCCCCCAGGGGACTGCTGGGCTCCACGCTTAGGGACTTGGCTGACTTGGGGTTCCCTGCAGAGAGTCGGGGAGGGAGCCGCCCCTTCTCCTCCCGGCCAGGTGACAGGCAGCTCTTCTCAGATCCTTCAAACTGGGCGCTGCCATCCTCCAGGCTGGACTCAGGGAGGGGTGAGGCTGGACCGGAGATGTCCCTGTCCCCGTCGGGAAGGGAGGGGCTGCTGTCCAGCTGTCCCACCGGTGGAGGCCAAGGTAGGTCTTTGATGACCTTAATGTCAACTGCAAAGGCTTTGGAAATCCGCTCCTTCTTCCACTCCCAGGGCTGGTCATACTCCTCAGGGGGCCTCTCATCATCCTCTGGCAGGCGGGACTCCCGGGGCCAGGAGGCCCCCTCACCTTCCGGGGTGGCCCCCTCCTCCTCCTCTGGCTCATAGGGCGTGTCATACAGAGGCAAGGGCTGAGCTGCTGTCTCCTTGGAGCCCCGGATCTCGGCCATCATCTTTTGGGCCTCATAGGGCTCCATGTAACCGTCATTCTCGGGGACCTTCTCTGGGGCTCCTGAAGCTCCTATTGGGCCTTCACCAGTCTCCTGAACATCAAACGGATCCGCATAGTCTTCTAGAATTGCTAGCCTGTCGCTGCTGGCGGGTGGTCCAGAGATCCGTTCCTCGGGCGGAGGCGCTGGGGGGCCAGGGGTCTCGACCCGAATAAGGCGGTGGGGTGGCGAGCCGTGGCGCGGGGGCGGCGTGGGGCCGGGAACGGCAGGGGTGGCTAGAGCAGCGGAGCCGGACGGCCCCCCGGAGTAAGGGTCTTCAAAGTCGCGCTCCCTCTGCAGTCGGTAGGCGGCCAAGATGTCCGGGGGAGGTGCGGGGGGCGCGGCCGGGGAAGGTGCGGGGGGGCGGTAGTCCGGCTCCGGGGGCGCCGGCTTGCCCCCACCTCCGCCGCCGCCCCCCCCCGCGGAAGCCCAGGTGCTCCCGGAGCCACTTGGCCACTCCGCCGCTGCTGCCCCCTCCTGGGCCGGTTCCCGCACCTCCGGCGCCCCGGCGCGATCCAGCCGGGCCGCCCCCCGCGCTCCCCTGCGCCCGCGGCCCCGGGCCGGAGCCGGCAGGAGTAGCTCCGCTCAGTAACATCTGTTTAGCTTTTTGTATGTAGTTTAAAAAATTCAAAGCTTCTCTGATTTCTTTGTATATGACCGGTTTTCCTCCCTTCTTCCCCGCCCCCGCTTGCCCCAGCCGCACTGCATGGCATGCGGGATCTTAGTTCCCTGATCAGGGATTGAACCTGCTCCCCCAGCAGTGAAATTTCGGAGTCTTAACCACTGGACCGCCAGGGAAGTCCCCCTTCTTTCAAACTGTAGGATTTTCTTTGTTTTCCCAGTGTTTTGGAATTTCACCATGATATACCTTTGTGTGGTGATCTGTTTTTGTCTTTTGTGATGGGAACTTATCCTTCAGTACTGGAAAATTTTTTAAAAAATTGACCTATAGTTGATTTACAATGTTGTTAGTTTCTGCTATACCCCAAAGTGATTCAGATATACATATGTATACATCTTTTTAATATTCTTTTCCTTTATGGTTTATCACAGGATTTTTTTTTTTTTTTTTTTTTTTGGCTGTGTCAGGTCTTCGTTGCTGCACGCAGGCTTTCTCTAGTTGTGGTGAGCGGGGGCTACTCCTACTTGCAGTGCACAGGCTTCTCATGGCGGTGGCTTCTCTTGTTGCAGAGCATGGGCTCTAGGTGCATGGGCTTCAGTAGTTGTGGCTTGCGGGGTCTGGAGTGCAGGCTCAGTAGTTGTGGTGCATAGGCTTAGTTGCTCCACGGCAAGTGGGGTCTTCCCGGACCAGGGCTCGAACCCGTGTCCCTTGAATTGGCAGGCGGATTCTTAACCACTGCGCCACCAGGGAAGTCCCTATCACAGGATATTGAATATAGTTCCCTGTGCTATGTGGTAAGACCTTGTTGTTTATCCATTTTAGATATAATAGTTTGCATCTGCTAACCCCAGCCTCCCAATCCATCACTCCCCCACCCCCCTCCTTGGCAACCACAAGTCTGTTCCCTATGTCTATGAGTTTGTTTCTATTTCATAGATAGGTTCATTTGTGCCATATTTTATTTATTTTTATTTTCTTAATTTAAAAAATTATTATTTTATTTATTTTTGGCTGCGTCGTGTCTTCGTTGCTGTGTGCGGGCTTTCTCTAGTTGCGGCGAATGGGAGCTAGTCTTCGTTGCGGTGCACGGGCTTCTCATTGCGGTGGCTTCTCTTGTTGCGGAACACGGTCTCTAGGCGCTTGGGCTCAGTAGTTGTGGCTCGTGGGCTCTAGAGTGAAGGCTCAGTTGTGGCGCACAGGCTTAGTTGCTCCGCGGCATGTGGGATCTTCCCGGACCAGGGACCAAACCTGTGTCCCCTGCATTGGCAGGAGGATTCCTAACCACTGCACCACCAGGGAAGCCCTGTGCCATATTTTAGATGCCACATATAAGTGATATCATATGGTATTTGTCTTTCTCTTTCTGACTTACTTCACTTAGTATGATAATCTCTCAGTACATCCACGTTGCTGCAAATGGCATTATTTCTTTCATTCTTATGGCTGCGTAGTATTCCATTGTATATATAAACCACGTCTTCTTTATCCACTCATCTGTTGATGGACATTTAGGTTGTTTCCATGTCTTGGCTATTGTGAATAGTGCTGCTGTGAACATAGGGTTGCATGTATCTTTTAAAATTATAGTTTTTTTCTGGATATATGCCCAGGAGTGAGATTGCTGGATCATATGGCAACTCTATTTTTAGTCTTTTGAGGAACCTCCATACTGTTTTCCAGAGTGGCTGCACCAACTTACATTCAGTACTGGGAAGTATTCTTGAATTATTTCTTTGATAGCTTCCTCCTCTGTTCTCCTGTTATTTGGATATTGGACCTCCCAAACTGATCTAATTTTCTTATCTTTACTCTCTTATTTTTCCATCTCTGTCTTTTTGCTCTAATTTTGGGAGATATCCTCAAATTCTTATCTTCCAGCCCTTATATTGAGTTTTCTCTTGAGTTTCTGTTCTCATGTGTTCAATTTCTCAGGGTTCTTTTTCCTCTGAATGTTTCTTTTTAAAATGGCATTATAGGGACTTCCCTGGCAGTCCAGTGGTTAAGACTCTGCACTTCCACTGCAGGGGGCGTGGGTTTGATCCCTGGTCGGAGGGCTAAGATAATGGATGCCGCACAGCATGGCCAAAACTTTAAAAAAACAATTTAAAAAAATGGCATTATGTTCTCCCTTGTGGATATTAATTTTTTTTCCTAATCTTTCTTTTTCTTGCATAGTCTCTGTATAATGAGTTGCTTTTTCCCCCCCTCTTATTAGGATTTTTCCTCATGTGTTTGATAATCCTTGGTTGTCTGTTAATGTTTAAAAATGCGGGGCTAAAAAACTCATTGGTAACTCTGGATGCATGGGTAGGGTTTGTTAGCTGTGCAGTTTATTGTAGGCTAGCCCTGTCCAATAGAAATATAATGTGAATCATATGTAATTTTAGATTTTCTAGTAGCCACAGAAAAAGATAGAAAAAAGTGAAAAGAAACATGTGAAATTAACTTTAATAATAAAATTTTTAATCCAGTATATCTAAAACATTATTTTAACATGTAATAGATATAACAATTGTATATAATTATATATAACAATTATATATATCTATAACAATAGATATAACAATTTTAACATGTAATAGATATAACAATTATTACCTTCTGTTTTTTATATGAAGTTATTGAACTCCAGTTTTTATTTTACATTTATAGCACATCTCAATTTAGATGCTAAATTTTCATGAAGATACTTGATGTGTATTTAGATTTGAAAAAATTTACAGGTGAAAGGTAGATTCACATACCTAGCGTGTTCCAAGCACATCGATACTTAAGTTTAACAATAACAGTAAAATATTAGCTTTTAATTTTAAATTTCGATAAAATTAAATAAAGTGAAAAATTCCTTTTTCAGTTGCACTAGGCACATTAGAAGTGCTTAATAGTTACCTGTGTCTGGTAGCTACCATATTGGATGGCATGGTTCATCTGCTTGGACTATGTCAGTAGCTTAATGTTGTTTTTCAATTCCCCAGAGAAGGCTCTTCCAACCTTCTGCCTCAAGGGTAAGGGTTTTGGGGTGCTGGGGTCCTGAGAAACTGGAAGGGGGAAGGTGCTGGGTGTCTCAGCACCTCAGCTGGGTGTCCCAGCTGGGTGTCTCATATAATCTATGCTTATAGTATGCATAGATTATTACTCTTCCTTTTGGTATAGGATCTCTGCCCACAACTGTGCCTAGCATCCCCTGATCCAGAGATATGTGTTTCTTCTAAGAATAAATTTCCAGACTTCTGCTGGAGTAAGGGAGGGTAGTCTCCCAATGGCATGGGGGGAGGGGTGTTGGGGGGTAACGGAGGATCTACCTGTCCAACTGCTTCTTAAACAGCTTTCAAACCAATCTTATTTTTGGGTCTCCCCCTCCCTCCAACTGCCCATTTCTATAGGTACCTGGTGCTGCTAATTCCTGAGCCTGTTGAGGATCCTGAAGTACAATTTGGATTGGTCATTAGCTTTTCCTATGGCAGGTTTAGGACTCAGTTTTCTTAGGTCTGTTGGGTCTTAGTCCTAGCTTCAAAAGTTGATTGCAATTACGCTTTTCTTGTTCTTCCCAACCTTGTAGGCTCCTTTCCTCTATCATTTTTTCTTTCTAAAAGTTCCTTTTCTGTAGATTTAGAAGGGTTTCAAAAAGCGGGGAAATTTGATTCAGTCTACCGTCTTTTATCTGGAAGTTCCTATTAATCTGTATTCATGAGCAGATTTTGATATGCTAAAAAATTTCATTCCGTATTTATGCTTCCTTCAGTATCTGTATTTGTAGTTAAAGGTTTTAGTATAGTTTTAGTGGAAGACTCAGTAGGAGGGACAGGACGATGAAGTATTTAGTGAAGATAAGTAAGGGTTTATGTTTGGGGGCAGAAAATAATTGATAGCAAACAAGGAGAAAGGTGAGTGTAGAAGCATTTAGAAAGAAGTAGGTGGGATCATTAGAGACTATGTTAAAAAGCTTGAACCTCTGGGGCATAAGGCATAAATATAGCTCCAGTAGCATTTATCTTCAAGGTCTCCACTATTTTTAGTCCTTCTTACTTTTCATGAGCTAGGAACCTCTTGTTGCATATCTCAGAGAATCCACAAAACAGTTAATGGTGCAGTTAAAAAAAAAAAAAAAAAGCTGTTTGTAAATTGTATGTTCAAGATCTGTAAGGAAAGCACACATAGTATTAAATAAGTAAATTAATACACCCTCAGTATACTGTAGCAGCAGGTTCCATTTCAGTAATGGAACTGAGCTTGCTGTTTGGGTGTTCTGTTGGGTTCTGAAACAGAATTTTGCCTGTAGTACTGTGATTCACTTTGCTGGTAGATGCTGCCCTCTGTTGGAGTTGTTGAGGAAATGCATGGATCATTTTTACTGTCCTTACTCAAATTGAGCACTAAAGCATGGATAATTTTTTTAAGGAATAAATCTGTTTCTAATGATGCACCAAGGAAAGCAAGGGAGACTGGTTTCTTCCTTCTTAAGAAAAGAGATGTTTACTTTTGTATGTAAAGGCAACAGTTAGTGGGCATTAAATGGGAACAAGACAAGAATCTGGAGAATGCAAATATTTAGGGCTTCAGAATCTGGAAACCAGAGTTCTATACCCAGCTTGCCCTTATTCATGTGACCTCAGTGATTTACTCCACCTATCTGGGCTTCAGTTTCTTCACTAATGCAGTGAAGAGGTGGAATAGATTTGAGGGCTTTTGCAGGGATTGGTATTTTAGGAGAGCAGCCCCAGATTATGGTATCTGTTCATAGGAGATATAATGACTAAGTCTTAGGCTCTACCCTGAAGGAACTTAGTCTGGAAATGGCTAGAGGAGGCAATCAAAAGAGAGTTGTAATCCACTTCTAGTGCTGTGAGACAGGAAAGTATCTATTTCTATATACACACAAGGAGAGGTACCCATCCAATTAGAGGAGGTATCATCCTGTAGGGCCTGTTGGAGCTAGCCTTGAAAGCACAGTCTAGTCTGAGGGAAGCAGCAGCCTAGAGAAAGTCTTGGGTTGTGAGACAGCAAGATCTGTTTGTGGACCTGCAAACTAGTTAGGATGCCCAGAACATAGAGTTTGAAATGGAGGGTTTGTTGAGAGATGAGTCAAGGGAGAGAAGCCAGAAGTGTCATATGCCATGCTAAGGAATTTGGATCTTAACCTGAGGGCAGTAGGGAACTGTTGCAGGGTTTTAAATGGGAAATAACATGGACAGCTTGGCATTTTAGAACGATTACTCTTGGGTATAGTATATAGAATGGATTTTGTGTTGGGCAGATGGGATTGAAGGCAAGGAGATCAGTTAGGAGGCTATTACAGTAAATCAAACAGGAGATCATAGTGGCGTGAAGTTCAATAGTGGGAATGGAGGGAAAAGAAATAAGAGTCTGCAGACAGAACAAGCTGCTGGTTTGTTGTTCTTTAACTTAACCTGCAGCTGAGATTGATTCATTAGACCCAGGTTCTGTTACCTACATTATATCCATCCCAGAATTGTTTGGGTTGTTGCTTGGTTCTGAGGGAACATTTTGAGTTTGGAGGACAAGGTTCTGGAAGCACTTGCTCTAGGAGCAAATAAGTTTAACCTTCGCAATGGCAACCTAACTATAAACATTCATCCTTTTTGTGGCTTGTTTCACCTCTGTGTGTCAGGTGACAGGGTGGTGACAAAAGGAACTGTGAGTCTCCTTGGGTGTTGCGGTCTCTGCTTCATCATCCTTCTGCCTTTGCTGCCCTTCTGCCTTTACTTTGTGTAAACAGCACACACAAAGTAACTTTAGATTCCATTGACACTGAGCAAGGATCCTATGGTTTCGGGTGAGTGATTAGCATTCCATCAGTAGAAGGTTGACCTCCTCTGGACCGTGGAGGGCAAAGTTAAGATTCACAGTTCACACTGGATTTAACCGAACTCTGACATGGGGCACATGAACATAAGGACATAGATTTTTCTCGTCTGTAAAAAGGTTGGTAAAGTGGCTTTGTGGCAGTGTCAGAAATAGTTTTTCATTAGTTGAGAAAAGTTCATCAAGAGGCATTTACTATACTCTTCTAAGGACATTAGCAAAAATAGATATGGTTTAAAACTAAGTATTAGAATGAAGAATTCCTGCTTTCCTGGAATACCTGCTTGTTCAGATTTTTTGGGGTCAAGTGTAGCACATATACAGAAGAGAATATAAAACATACAGAATAATTATAAACAGAACATCCATGTAACCATCATCCATATCAAGAAATAGAATATTATTGTAAGCACCCCTGAAGCCCCCTGTCCCCTTCTGCAGTCATTACTCTTCCACCCACTTCAGGTAACCACTCTTTTGCCATTTGTGGTAATCATTCCCTTTATAATTGTACATCCTAAATAATATAATTTAGTCTTGCATGTTTTTAATCTCAGTGTATAAGAAATAATACATTCACTTTTATGTTTGTGAGTAGCTGTAAGTTCATTCACAATAGCTATTTGGATTGTTCTCTGTTTTATTGATAGATATTACAGTGTTGCTGTGAACATTCTTGTTATACACAACCTGCTATATATGTGCAAGTTTCTGAAGGGTAGATTTATAGGAACTGATATGTTGAGTTGTAATATATCTGCATATTTTAACTTTACTAGATCATGCCATACTGTTTTCCAAAGTGGCCATAGCAATTTACATTCACACCCACAGTGTGTGAGAGCTCCCGCTGCTCTGTGACTAGACAGACACACATGAAAATTTTTGCCAGTCTTGAGTGTGAAATGATATCTCGTTGTGGTTTTAGTTTGCATTTCCTTGTTTACTAATGCAGTTGAACACATTTCATAGGTTTATCAGTCATCCCATTTAGAATTTTTTCAGTTCTCCACCTTTTTTTCCCCAAAGGGTTGTTATATTTTAGTGACCTTAAAACTCCTACCCCTTACCTAAGGGAATGTGCCAAGGAATAGTCTGGCAGAAATCTAGCATGTGGGAAGGAGCCTAGATCCTTTCAACTTATTTTCTCCTCTTTTTTTCCCCAACCCATCTGGTATTTGGGAGCTTTCCTGGCATTTCACTGATCTCTCTTCCCTTTCTTCTCCCTCGTTTTTCCTGTTCCTAGACTCTGAAGCGGCTCATGGCAGATGAGGTAAGGAAATTTTGTTCAGCATGTGCATGGCTCATTTCCTACACTATGATATTTACCAGTTGCAATAACTTTGACTTTCTATAACTTATAAATGTGATATGGGTTCTATTCTCAGATCATCCCAAAGCTTTTTCCTAACTCTTTGCTCTGTTTGACCCATTGCATGCATTTTCCTGGCACATTCATTGGCTTCCAAGGTTAGGCATGTTCTTTAAACTCCAAGCTGACTTGCTGTCTGGATGTCACTCTTATCATTTGAAGCCCCAGAATGCTTGCAGATATTTACTGTTATTTTCAATCAGGTAGTGCCGATAAGCTGCAGCTTATCGGTAGCTCTTTTTGAATCGAACACTTGTCCTTGTGGTTTGAGGAGCGGTTCATAAGCATTTGGTTGACAGAGAGATGACATATATACCCCTGAAGTAGATTATATTCTTTGCAAAGGGGATTTTGGAGAATATGTACTGAACTTTTGCTGCTTACATAACACAAGTGCTATGGAGCGTACAGAAGAAAGAAAAAGGAATGGTTCCTGGTTTTAAGGCATTTCCTTGTTTCTTGTATATGACTTATATCTATCAAAATCTATGGTCACACTTACCTCTTGAAGGGAGAGATCCTCTGAGGGCCTGGCCATATTTATTATTGGATAGCTAGAGGGAAACAAAAGGCATTTTACTGAGCACTCTGCACATGAGGTGCTGTCAGTTCTGTGCTGCTAGAGGGCTTAGAAATGACAGGGGAGCTAAAGAACAAAGTTTTCTCTTTTTAGAGAGTTGCCAGTTCTTAATACTTCATTCCTCTTATCTTTGGATGAAGGTGAGAGTACAGAGTCCGTGTAGTAAATTAGGTACAAGGAAGATTGGTTTCTCTTTTTCATGTCAGAAGAGCCTTGAACTGGCCACAAACCAGAGGAGCCATGCACGTATAAGAAGTTAGAGGCTATTTGATGTGTGCTTTGTTGTGTAAACGAAAATGGATCACTGCTAATACTTTTTTATTCTTTCTCAGCTGGAGAGATTTACCAGCATGAGAATTAAGAAGGAGAAAGAGAAGCCTAATTCTGCTCATAGAAATTCTTCTGCATCATATGGGGATGATCCCACTGCACAGTCATTGCAGGATGTTTCAGATGAGCAAGTTCTAGTACTCTTTGAACAGATGCTGGTAAGTTTCCCACCCCAAAGCATTGCTTCTTCTTGAAAATGCTTTTACGAGCATGATGGGCCCTTTTTTGTGTACAGTCCCCCTTAACTATCCTTTAATTACAAAAAATTCCAGGCTTAACAGAAAACTTCTTAATAGCAGTCCCATTAATGAAGGGACTACATATACAAGCGCCAGTCCGTAAGATTGGAATCTATGAATTAGGCTTGGAAATATCTAATCACTGACCACCTTGTTAATGTCCTTCAGCCCAGCAGCACTTTAGCCACAAAGATATAAAATGAGTGGGCCAGCTCTTGTGGTAGTGTGATGACCACCTTTGGGTTAGCCAGAGTAGATAAAGTTTTAAAACATTCACAACAAAATCTATATGAAGAAGAAGCTGAGTGACTTCCCTGGTGGCGCAGGGAATCCGCCTGCCAATGCAGGGGACTCGGGTTCGATCCCTGGTCTGGGAAGATCCCACATGCTGCCAAGCAACTAAGCCTGTGCGCCATAACTACTGAGCCTGCACTCTAGAGCCCGTGAGCCACAACTACTGAGCCTGCGTGCCACAACTACTGAAGCCCGTGAGCCTAGAGCCCGTGCTCCACAACAAGAGAAGCCACCGCAATGAAAAGCCTGTGCACCGCAACGAAGAGTAGCTGCCGCTCGCCACTAGAGAAAGCTCACGCGCAGCAATGAAGACCCAACGCGGCCGAAAATAAATAAATAAAAGGGAGGGAGGGAGCGGGGGGAGGGAGGGAAAGAAGAAGCTGAGGAATAGAAAGGCATCGTTTGCCCGAGATCTTCTACTTAGTAGTGAATCTGGAAAGAGAATTCTGATGTTACAATCACTAGAAGACCTTTAAAGGTTGGGGCTGAGGTCAGTTCAATAATGTGCTGTGCATGGATGTGACTGACTTTGCTGTCTTCAGTGAGGACCATTGCGTGGGGAGGACACTGAGTGAATGTCCGCTAGTGCTAAGTCTTGGAAAGTTTTGAGTACATGCTTATAAGGTTTCATGAGACCTATATATTAACTTGGATTTATGATCTCAGATTCAATTAGAGATTAGTGGCAGGCCTAACTTAATTAAAAGCATGCACTTAAAACCCTTAAAACTGAGGCCTGGTATCTGTGGTAGTCACCACTCAACCAGTACTACTATTATTACTTTTCCTTGAAGCTTTCAGTTTGTCTCATAATAATCCAAGTGTGTTAAGAGTCCAAGAGTATGATCTATCAAGACAGTCTCTTGGCCTTGGATTGCAAATTAAATGTCTTTAGGGCCAAGGGAGGAAGCATAAGTAAGTTAAGCAGGCTACATAGAAGATGATAAAAAGGAGAAAGGACTGCAGTAAAATGAAGGACTTTGGGCATTTTTGATAAACTCCAACCACGATTCAGTTCCAGTAGGTTTTGTAGCATTCCAGTTGGGAATGCTAGCCCAGTAGTGCCAGATATTTTTGTTTTTCAAAAGAAACCAGAAATCTCTATTTTTTAAAAAAAACAAAAATTGTTTTTTAAAAAACAAGTATCATAGCCAGCATTCAGATTTCCTGAATTAGGTCATTTTTAGAAAAACAATTTGTTTGTTCAAATTATAATTCCAGGTAAGGTCCGTTGTGATACTCTACTAAGTTTCATTTGAACTATAGGTTTTCCTCCCTCTCTTTAATCCTTGCTTTTGTTAGAAAAAATTTGTTGAAGAAGCTGTTTGACCTGTAGAGTTTTCCATAATCTTAAATTTGCTGATCGCATCCCTTGGCGCTATAAATTCATATTTTTGTATGAAGTCTCTCAAATTTAAAATGTTGAGCTAGCCAGACAAAACGTACTTTATCTTTGGGTCTGATTCAACCTGAGGGCCAGTATTTTGCAACTTCTTTGTTCAGTTTATCTGTAAAAGGAGGAAGAAAGCACCAGGAATTGAGTCAGAAAGAAGTCAAATTATTACTGTGACAATTTGGTGGTGGTGATTCCTTCACACATCACACACATACACAAACACACACATGGGGAAGAAATTGAATATACCCTTTTTTTTTCTCCTATACTTTCCCCGTTTCAAATAATATTCTGGACTTGTTAGGGTTAAACGTGTGCTCACAAAAATAGGAGGCTCAGACACATGGTTATATATGTAACAGGGTCAAGCAGAGCCTTTCCCCCAATGACACACTCCAGGTTATGTCTGTTGAGGGAATTTGTCACAGTTTCCAGTTCTTTCTTCATGGGAAAGGAGTTTGTACAGGGACTTAGTTAACCAGGGGTAATGGGTGTTTAGGCCCTAAAGTGGTGCCGATTTTGCTGGTGTTTGCATGATGCCAGTCATCCAGTGCTTCAGTCTGAAGAGATGATTAAGGTCCATCCTAAGTGCAGAAAATACTATGTTTGCTTTTCTTTCAATAATGCAAAATAAGTTTTCCCTCTATATTGAGAGTCCACTTTTGTTAGGGAAAAATTCAGTGTATGTGTATAAAAATGTCTGTTGGGATTTATAATAAAATGTTAACCATGTTTATCCCTAAGGAATTCCTATCATCTATAATAGCTTAAGTCTCTAAGGATCAGGAAAATTTATTTATTCAATAAGCATTTAGTATGTTCATCTCTTTACTAAGTATACTAAACATTAAACACTGAAAACTTGTAAGGAATTCAAGGCAATTTTTCCCCCTTTTTTCCTCCCGTTTCTAGTTGGATATGAACCTGAATGAGGAAAAACAGCAACCTTTGAGGGAGAAGGACATTATCATCAAGAGAGAGATGGTGTCCCAGTACTTGCACACCTCCAAGGCTGTGAGTCCTGGGGCAGGTACCCACGACGTGGGAGACTGTGCCCTTATCTTGGACCTGTTTGTTTTGCTACTTTTATAGAACTTTTCATGTCCACATCAGTTTTATTTCATTCTTTTATATAAACCTACTCATTTGAGTTACTTTTCTTGCATACTTTTGCCTGATTCGATCTTCATGAAGTATGTATGGGTAATGGGAAGGAAATTCTGAGTCTCACACAGTTTGGTGGTATATATAATGGGTGTTTGCCCTGATATTGTTTAAACTGTATTAACTAATTCTGGTCCAATTTATGACTGAGTCCAGTGTTTACTAATCTCTGTATGCTCCTTTCCAGGGCATGAGTCAAAAGGAGAGCTCTAGGTCAGCTATGATGTACATTCAGGAGCTGAGGTCGGGCTTGCGGGATATGCCTCTGCTCAGCTGCCTGGAGTCCCTTCGTGTCTCCCTCAACAACAACCCTGTCAGGTGAGGATTCTGAGGTAGTAACAGGAGTGAGAGCCCAGTGTTGGAGCTCACTGGTGGGGATTAAAGATCAAAGGAGTCAGGGAAGTATGAGACTGTTTTGGATTGGAAGTAAAGAGTTGCCAGGATATACTTTATTTTGGTGGATATTTATTGATTTGATTTGATATTGCATCGTCTTTGTCTCTTCCTTACAGTTGGGTGCAAACATTTGGTGCTGAGGGCCTGGCTTCCTTATTGGACATCCTTAAACGACTTCATGATGAGAAAGAGGAGACTGCTGGGTGAGGACTTCCGAGTCTTGGCATCTTCTAGGTGGAGCGTAGTAGAGGACTTGGCTGTTTGCTCTAAAGGAGAAAATGGCAGTTAAATGGAAAGTTATGGACTAGGATATTATGTTGTTAGCTGAGAATGGGGTTTATCGTAGGGGTGACCGGAGAATGAAGGATGATTATAGGTACAGGGAAAGGAGGAACTTAAATTTCACGGTGAATAACACAAGATATATACCACATAAGATTGTGAGTCTCCCAGCACAGGTTCTTATCCAGTCTGGAAACAGGGTCTGATTTAGTCTAAAGCTCTCCTGTGATCTGGTCTGGGTCATATCTCATTTGGAAGTCTTATAATACACTTGATCAGTTTGGGACTAGCTTTATGATAGTCTTCAGGATTGGAATAATTCTGGGGATACCTTGCACTGTCTTAGGTTAGGCTACCTTGAAGCCAGCCTGACCCAAAATGATTTCTCTACTTCCTGGGATCTTTCCAAAACAAAACACAGGACCTTTACCTCCTGAAAGTACAGACTTGAAACCTCTGACGCAGTGAGGCAAGCAGTAATAGGTGGGATGTTATCCTGATAGAATTTAGCCCTTAGGAGCCTACAGGGAGTTAAAGAGAAGATTTTAATATAATACTGAATTCTTGGTTTATGAGAGGATTAACCAATGGTTCTTTCTTCAGCTACCTCTTTTCGCCAGTGTTTTAGGGTAGAGTGCTATGTGCTAGAATTTACTCAGCTACTAGTTGGGAGTGTTCCTAAGACCCTTGTTTACAAGATTGAAAAGTCAAATGGGGAGGGGTATAGAATGAAGGGACTTCACTGATTATGTCTTCTACATGCAGAAGCTACGATAGCCGTAACAAGCATGAGATCATCCGCTGCTTGAAAGCTTTTATGAACAACAAGGTAAGATATTTCCCATTCTCATTCAACCCCCATCGTGACCGCTGTTTTTTCTCTTCTGTTGGCAGACTCAAAAAGGGACCTAGGAATATGAGGTTCAAGGCTTCTAGCTTTCCCTTTTAGTACCGTAACTTTTTGATCACCACATACACATACTTTTATGGATCTTTTCCCTCAGTTGTAATGTCTGTTTCAGAGGATAGGCTTAATTTTCTTCTTCTGTTTATACTTTTTTTGCTAATTCTTAAATTTCCTGACCTGTAGTTATTATTTTTGGAAGGTTTACTTTATTTTCTGCTTATTTGTTGTTGTTTTTTCCCCAGTCTATTCCTACTTTACAATCTTTTCTTCCTTCCTTTCTTTTTCTTTCTCTCTTTCTCTCTCTCTTCCTCTTTCTTTTTCTTTTTTTGTCTGTTTAGTATTTAAACTTAGGGATCCTACAGTTATTTGTTCCTCAGTGCAAATCTGTCTTCCTCACTATTTAATTTTGTTATAATTATTCCACTGGCTTAGGGGGAGCATTGAAAAGAAACATAAGAATCAAAGTTTTTATTCTTGGAAGACATAGAATTCTGTTGTGTCTTCTAGAAAATTATTTTGCTCTGCTCATTTCTGTTTAGCTATATTGGAAAAAGTGTTCTACCCTATATTAGTTTGCTAGGGTTGCTATAACAAAGTACTACAAACTGGGTGTCTTAAACAACAGAAGTTCATTTATCTCACAGTTCTAGAGGCGATACGTCCAAGATAAGGTGTTGATAGGGTAGGTTCCTTCTGAAGGCTGTGAGAGAGGGTATGTCCCATGCCTGTTTCCTAGCTTCTGGTGTCTCGCTGGCAATCCTTGACATTCCTTGGCCTGTAGATGCATCACCCCAATCTCAGCTTTTGTGTCCACGTGGCGTTCCCCCTGTGTGCACATCTGTGTCCAAATTTCCCCTTTTTATAAAGATAACCATTATATGGGATTAAGGGCCCACCCTACTCTAGTCTGACCTCATGGTAATCTAATTACACCTGCCAATGACACTATTTCCAAATAAGGTTACATTCTGAGGTGATGGGGGTTAGGACTTAAACATACGAATTTTGGGAGGAGCACCATTCAATCCATAAGAACCCGTAAACTTGTCCTTGGTTAGATGCTCTCACCTTTAAGCCTCCCTTTTCTCTTTTTGTCCTATCAGTTTGGAATCAAGACCATGTTGGAGACAGAAGAAGGAATTCTGCTGCTGGTCAGAGCCATGGATCCTGCTGTTCCCAACATGATGATTGACGCAGCTAAGCTGCTTTCTGCTCTTTGTATCCTAGCACAGCCGGAAGACATGTATGTGACTGGAATTATTTTTCTTCTCTATTTTTTTTATCATCTTCTTTAGTCTAGAGGAATATTAAGTTGCTTGGGTGTCCACTTAGTCTTAAATACTAGGTAAGACTATATTTCTTACATGAACACTGTGTATCTTAATATTTAAGAAAGATTGTTAAGAGATGGAAGCTGTTCTGCATGTACCACTGGTTATCAAAGGTACTGCAGGATCTCCTAGATCTCCATTAATGTCTGTATTGTCTAGGACAAGGGTTTCTTTTTACATTTTTTTAAAATTCAGAAGTAACACACCATTATTTTTAAAATTCAAACAACATAGAAGTATATGAAGTACAATTTAACAACATCATCCCTTTGGCAAACCCTATTCAGCAGAGGTAACCACTGTTAATGGTGTGGTACAGTCTCATAGATCATTTTCTAGCACAGACAAATATTTACTAAATTCTGACACACCTGCCACTCCAAAAGATGGTTTCTTAGAATTAAGGAAAGATGGCTTATGCCTATAAAACCAATCTCATGTATAGGATAGATTTTTATTTTTGTGGAGGGGTTTGGTTTAACAAAAGCTAAATCATACCACCATTCTTTTCAACTTGTTTCTTTTTATTTAACAGTAGCTCTTGGACATTCTTCTCTGGCAGTACTTCTAGATCTATCTTATTATCTTTAGTGGCTGTTTAGCATTTCATACTCTGTACGTCCCATAATTTAATGATTCCTTCATTGCTAGACTTTTAGGTAGAATTTTTTTTTAGCACATTCTGACCCCTGCTCCAGATGATAAAAAGTTTTATTATCAATTCTTGTGCATATATTCTTTGTACATATATTATTTCATATTTATGTGTTTATGTTAGATAGATTTTCTAGAAGTAAGCCAATGTTATGTGCATTAAAAAAATTGGTACTGTTAAATGCCCCTCCAAAAGTTGTACCAATTTATATGCCATAGAACAGGGGTCTTAATTTGGTAAATATAGGTAGGAGTCTGGGGCGGATTTTAGGGAGTGCATTTTTCTGAAGAGATGGTCCTTAGTTTCCTGTTGATCTGGCCTCTGCTCCAGGTGATGAGAAGAAGAATGTGAGAAATCCAGAACATTGCTAATGTCTGTTTCCTAACTGATCTATGCCTCTGTATAATATACCTGTTGTGTACCTGTCTGTGTCAGAGCACCCAACCAGTTCTCTCCCTTTCCTTACTGTCTGGCAGGAATGAAAGAGTTTTGGAGGCGATGACAGAAAGAGCTGAAATGGATGAGGTGGAACGTTTTCAGCCACTGCTGGATGGATTAAAAAGTGGGACCTCCATTGCTCTCAAGGCATGTATACCTATGAAACTTGGCCCAAAAGTAGAATTCAAGATAGAAAGACTTAAGTTCATTTGACCTTTTAAGAGAACACATGGAGTGGTTACCAATGATATATATTTCAAAGTTCTTTCTGAAGGGAAAATGATTACCCTTCTCTCCAAGAAGGCAGAGAAAGAACTGTCTTCCTCATTATGAGATGGAAAAAAGTCATGGTATTTATTTACAGGCTAGAAAAATCAAGGCCTAGAACAGATTATACCATAGAATCTCTGGAATCCTTTAGACCTCTGAACTCTCCAGACTTGTGTTTAAACCAAGTTGTATTGCTATATATAAGGAAGTCATTCTTGTAGTTTTTGTACTGAATCTTCTAGGTTATATTCGGGGGCCTCAGAATGCATGTAAAGAGAATGGAATCTTGATCCCTAGGAGTTAACATTGACACAGCTGCTGAATTTTCTTATTTTAGGTGGGATGCCTACAGCTGATCAATGCTCTCATCACACCAGCTGAAGAACTTGACTTCCGAGTTCACATCCGAAGCGAACTGATGCGCTTGGGGCTGCATCAAGTGTTGCAGGTGAGATGCAACACTTCATTAGAAAGGCTGGGCTGGTTCCTTCCTGCTCTTATATCCCCATCATCCCTGGGAAGACTTCGGTTTTCAGTTTAAAAACCAGGTTGAGGGAGTGCCCTGGTGGTCTAGTGGTTAGGATTCAGCACTTCCACTGCCGTGGGCCAGGTTCAATCCCTGGTTGGGGAACTGAGATCCCGCAAGCCATGCGGCACGCCAAAATTTAAAAAATTAAAAAAAAAAAAAAAAAACAGGTTGAAATGTTTGGGTTTTTAACCAGCATAGGACACTTTTGGGTTCCCTGGCCTATACTTTTGCTGTTGACAGGACCTTCGAGAGATTGAAAATGATGATATGAAAGTGCAACTAACTGTGTTTGATGAACAAGGAGAAGAGGATTCCTATGACCTGAAGGGACGTCTGGATGACATTCGAATGGAGATGGAATATCCTTTTACTGACTGGGTTGAAGACACCAGACATTCAGTTGCATTCAGTTGTAGATCCCTGTAAGGAATGGTGTGGAGTTGATGACTTACACGAGGGCATTAGCCCTGTCTTCTTTGTAGATTAGGCAGGTGCCTTTTGATTGCCATTGGATATATTTACGTCATTGTGGACCAGAGAAGTTGGGAAAGGCGATCTGAGGGTTGCTCAACATGGAAGCAGCCATCAAAATTAGTATAGACCTCCTAGAACATGATAGCTTAGCTTATTAAGATGTAGAGCTGGTTTTGGGAGAACATAGACAAGTCAGGGAGTGAGGTTGTAATTTGCTCTCTTGTATGTTTCCATGAGACTGACGGGGAATAATTTGGTTACCTATTGATACTTGCCACAAGTGACTTTGAGGCAGTTACCTTTTTGTGTCTTGTCTACTGCTCGGTTTTCAAGCCAAGTACTAGGAGTTTTCTATCTCTGTGTATAGTACCCCCTGACCCACTGGTCCCCTGGCCAAAGAAAGTTTATAGAGCTTAAAGCTTAGGGCAGGGTTTACAGGAGGAACAGCTGTTAGAATAGAAGTGGCATCTTGCTACTTCTCCCGAGAGTTGGGCAAGCTACCTGTCAAACTTAGTTTCTAAATATATGCTTTCCTTAGCCTCTTCTCCTTTTCCACTGACTTCAGTGAAGTCTTCCAGATTCTCTTAAACACAGTGAAGGATTCAAAGGCAGAGCAACACTTCCTGTCCATCCTGCAGCACCTACTCTTAGTCCGAAATGACTACGAGGCCAGGTAAGGTGGTATACCTGTGGGAAGTTTTGAATTTGAGCCTAAGTGGAGAGTGCAAACTTCTTAAATTCAAAGATTGTCTGTAGAGAGAAAAGGAAAAGACAAAGACATGGATTAGAGTTCATTTTTAGTTTCAGACATTAAGGGAGTTGCCAGTTGTCCCTTTAATCCAACTGAAAGGCATCTCTGTGGAAGAGATGAGAGTGTATAAGGTGAACTGCCTCCCTCTTTTGGAATGGGGTGGTGGGGTGGAGTGAAGATGATAGCAAAGGAAGGCAGCCATTTAAAGTTGATTCATGTTGGAACATGAGATTCAAGCAGTAGAGTAGAGATTCAGCAATAGTAGTGTCCATCACAGGCAGGATCAAGCTCGAATTTTAGATGGAAAAGGATTTGCACTCGGAGGCAGATGGCAAGAAGTTTTGACTATCTGAAGTAGATGGGGTAGCTGATGTGGATGGAAGAGGGGGATTTCTTAGCATGGCAGCAATACTCTGTTAATTTTATGAAAAGGTCTTTTCCAGAACATTTATCCTCAGGTCCTTCTGCTGTCAAAACAGTTACCTTTCTTGATCCTGAATACCAAAATTTTATTTTGGTTTTCCTTTAATAACCTTATTTTGTTTCTTCTGTAGACCGCAGTACTATAAGTTGATTGAAGAATGTATTTCTCAGATAGTTCTGCACAAGAATGGGGCTGATCCTGACTTCAAGTGCCGGCACCTCCAGGTTGATATTGAGGGATTGATTGGTAAGCATATTTGTCTGTCTGGTTCCATAAAACATTGCTTCTTCTATCTTTCATTTTGCATCTTTCTTTCAGTGAAAATTTCAGAGAAGATACTTTTCTAGCCCCTGGTATTTCCATTTTCACCCTTTCTTAGGTGATATAACCAATACCTCTGCTAGGAATGTATAGGCCTTTAGTTTATTTCTACATAATTCTAAAAATTTATCCTGTCTCATACACCACCCCACGTTTTGAAGGGACTTCAGCTATTGTCTGCTACTCCTGCTGGTCCCAGAGATTCATAAGTATTACTTGTAGGTGTTCTCTGTGCCACCTGACATGGTGGCCTTACTGCATAACAGGCACTCAGAAATTATATGCTGAACTTAACTGAAAGTTCCATTTCTTTGTCTAGTACAGAACATTCTTTGTCTAGTACAGAACATTAAGAACATTTCTTTGTCTAGTACAGAACATTCTTTGTCTAGTACAGAACATTCTTTGTCTAGTACAGAACATT